AACACATTTTTTAATTGTGTGTTCCCATAAAGATGAAGGACTTCCCTAAAATGACAAGAAATAATTAAGACACAAAGCAAAAGAATTTAACAAAACACTTGCAAAGTCATTGGCCAACCTGTCATAAACCCAAGACCTACTTGCTTCATGGCAGTCTCTCCAATTTTGTCTGAATGCTTGCGGATACTCTCCAGAAAGTCTTTGAGATCAGACATAGAGACATCCTTAATTTCTTCACGAAGCTTAGGGATATTATCCACCATCACCTTGCAGAATCGATAGTGGCTCACTTGAGGCAGATAGGTATGCTCTAGATGTTCCAGAGTTTTCAGTGCAGGGTAATGCCTATAAAAGGAATTATATCACCTTTAGCTCAACTCAGTCTGTTTTAGGGTCACAGATATATTCCTCAGGCAAAATTTCTAGCCTGAATTAGTTTTCACTGTACATTAAGACAAATCCAGTATTAACTTTTTTAATAAAAACATCCATGGAAAATCTCAAATTATTAACAATTAATAAATATATGCATTTAAAAGACAAGTAAATTATAATAAAAAATATTCTTCTCTTTCCTTTCAATTTCATGAAAAGATTTTTAAAGCAATGATTATAACACTGCATTGTAATTCTATAAAATATATAGATATAATATATATGGCAAAATAGTACAAAAGAGGAAGGAAGAAATGGAGCTAAGTTGAAGCAAAGCCACTACATTATACCAAAATTGTACCACCAATGACCTAAAGTAGACTATAATAAATTAAGATACAGATTATAATCCATAGAGCAGCCTCTAAAAAAATAACTCAAAAGTAATACTTAAAAAATTTAACAGGTGTATTTTTAAATATCACACTAAAAATTATTTAACACCAAAAAAGGGAGAAAGCAGAAGAACAAAAAAGACATGAAAAACATAGAAAACAAAAGAGCAAAATCCAACCATAGCAACAATTACATACACTCCAACTAAAAGGCAGACGTTGTCAGAAAGGATTTAAAAAGCATGATATGAATATATGTTGTCTATAAGAAACATACTTTAAATTCTAAAAAACAAATAAGTTACAAAGTAGAAAAAGTAAGATATACCATGCAAAAAATCATCATAAAAATGCTTAAATAGCTATGTTAGTATAAGAGAAAATAGTTTAAGACAATAAATATTGCTGTAATACAGAGAAATATTTCATAACAAAAAAGGGACAATATTTATCTAACAGGAAGAAAAGCTTCCATAAGCATAAGAAAATGATAAAGGTGACAAGGTAAAAACAAAATAAGCTATGCATTAAAAGAACATAATTAATAAGAATAAAGAGAAAACAACAACCTTGTAAAGATTATTTGCAACATATACACTGCTTTTTTTTAAAGCAGTGAACAAGAAAAGTCTTAAAAGAATTGTTTAAAAGGCCCATATCTGAAAAAAGAAGTTGAACTGATATGTTAATAAATCCAAATCAAAAACATAATTTGTCACTCAAACTGATAAATATTTTTTAAAAGATCATGGGTAACATTTTCAGGTATTTCAATAAATGATAATTCACAGCCTGCTGGTAAACAAATTTGTACTAATGATACAAGTTTTCAATGAAGAATTTTACCAAGACAAGTACTCTAAACAGCTACATTTCAAAAATAAACAAACAAACACAAATTAGATGCATAATTTTCTTGAATTAGTTATATTTATTAACAAATAAAAATACTAATCTAGATGTCAAATAACAAGGAATTAGACACATTATTATAGATCTATGTAGTAAAAGACTAATAAAATAGCAAAATTTTTATAATACTTTTGTATGAAAATTATTTCAAAAACAGAACTTACAGCTCTGGCCAGTACTGCTAGATGGTTAGAATATCAGCCCACGCACCAAAGGGTCTCGGGTTCGATTCCCAGTCAAGGGCACCTGGATTGCAGGTTCTATCCCTGGCCCTGGTCAGGGTGCAGGCGAGAGGCAACCAATTAATGTGTCTCTCACATTGATGTTTCTCTCTCTCTCTCTTCCCCTCCCCCTTCCCTTCCACTCTCTCTAAAAATCAATGGAAAAAAATATCCTCAGCTGAGAATTTTTTTAAAAAATCCAAACTTACAAGTATAATCATAACATTTTTCAACATTATAAATATGTATACATGTATAGATTATGAATATATATGCATGCATAAACTATATAATCACTAAATATACCCAAACATAAGGACGTAGAAAAATGACTAGAAAAATACATACAAAAATGTTAACCATAATTTTTTTCCTTGGATAGCAACATTATGGTTGATAATTTTCTTCATGTTTTTAATTTCCTAATTTCCAATGATATATTTATATAGGAAAAATTCAATTCCAAATCTATAAATAAAGTACTTACAGCCCTATTTTAGATTTTAAGAATGAATTTCACAGTAGTGAAATTCTCTTCTTGCCCAAATGCACTTAATACCACAAACTAAAGATTAGAGATTGCTTTTATTTTAATTTTTTGTTGTTGTTTTTCCTTTGTGTGTTCCAAAAATAAAAAAGTTAGTCCAGCCCGGCCAAATACATAGAGGGAAGAAAGGTTTATTTCTTCTAAATTTAGAAATATAATTATAGTTTAATCTGAAATGGTTGGTTTTATTAAATTTTTACAGACTCAAAAACAGTGCAATTCACATGGTTTGTGTAAACAGAATGGTGTTTATAGTACAATTAGGTATAAAAAGCTATGTGCAATAAAATGCAATTTCTCTAGAGAGAAACTTTAGAATGGACAGAAAGCCAGAAATTAAGCCAAAAAGATAAACACACTTTGGGGTTTAGTTATATTTTGGAACATTGTTTATAGAATGAGAAAAATCTAACAATGTTGCCTGCGAGACACATTCACTGATGAGACACATGGCTCCATGCCGAAAACATCTGGTCAACTCCACCAAAGCTAATTAGTATAAAACCCAGTGATTCCCGGCAACAAAGAATGTTACCTTATTTCCCCATTGTCTTTTCTCTATCATATTCATGTTCCCACTATAACAGATCAAAAAGATTATTCAAATTTCTGGTGTATTTCAAATATCAGTGACAGGTTAAAGAATGATAGCCAATTAAACACCTGTATAGCAGACACCAAAAGAAAAAAATTCTATTTCCAACAGCCATGGAAATCTAAAACAAGATTTAGACATTACTTTGGCAACCTCTAAACATTATTAAAACTGAATCAAAAACAAATTCTAAGCTTTATTTGCATGTGTGCTAGCTATCCGCCTCTCCCCCTCATGCAGGCTACCTTATAGTAATGTGAGCAAAAAGAAAATAAATAAAATAAAAAAAGGGAATAAAAAGAAAGGTAACAGGAAAAGAGGTCTAAAAAAATCCTATAAACTGAATAACTAAAGTCTGAATAATTTAGGCATGATTGAATGCTATCATGAGAAGAGAAATGTTGATTTTAGGCTAATTAAATGTTGGTACTTCCTTGCCGTGGTGCAGAACTGTTTCACAAAAATGGTTTTTAAAATTCTAATGTGATCTTTTTTAAAAATATATTTTATTGATTTCAGAGAGGAAGGAAGAGGGAGAGAAAGATAGAAACATCAATGATGAGAGAGAATCATTGATCAGCTCTGCCTCCTGGGAACCCAGCCTGCAACCCCAACTTAGGTATGTGCCCTGACCAGGAATCAAATGACAATCTTTGGTCCATAGGGTGAAGCTCAACCCCTGAGTCATACCTGCCAGGCTAATAGTGATTTTTTAAAGCAGATCACAATTTTTAAAAATTTGTAGTATGATAAGAATATGAAATAAAAACTTTCACCACAGAAAATTAGTGCCTTTCGTAATCAAAGAGCATCATTAACAACTATTTAATCCCTTCTATGAGCTATAGATAGAAAGATGGTCGGATATCTTTCCTTAGGGAACATAAAACCTAGTAGTATAATCAGTAATTACAGCTTTAAAAAAAATAAACTATGCTTCCAGCTATGAAGGACTAATAAGAAACAGACATGAACTTCCACTTTTAAAAAGTAGAATACTGGCTAAAATATATAAAACAATTGTTTTCAGATAGTAGACTTCAGGTAACACAGAACTATACAATCTCTGAAAAAGGGAAACTAATAAGGTGAGCTTAATAATTATCTGAGTTATCTATCAGGAGGTGATTTCTAGATCATGGACAAAGTTAGAGAAAACCCAAACAGAACCCAGCAGCTTAGCAGCATTGGAGTCAGACAGAAGAGTTCAGGAAAGCTGATGCACCTTGAGGTTGTGCAGTGGAATTCAAAAAGAAAAAAGGAGGAATGCAGAAAAGAAATGCAGAAATCTACACAGGGGTTCCCTTGAGTCTTTGCTAAGTACTAGGCCAGGCATAGGAAAAATGAAATTCCATATGAACAGGCAAAACGAAGGAAGAAAAAGTGGGGAAGGGAGGGAAGATGGGAGAAGAGAGAGACAGAGACAGATACCATGGAGATGTAAGGTAAACACTTCCAGGAGCTCAGACAGGGTCGAGAAATATTCAAACAGCCAAGCTGAAGAGTCCTTGAGGATTCCTGAGCTATTCAGTGAAGATGAATACTACTCTGAAATATCCCTGAATGAAGGTAAGCCTAGTAAAGCTTAAAAATGGAGTTTAAACAAACCTGCAAACAACTAAACTATTTGCCGAAACAAAGACCAACACTCTCTAAGAAAAAAAACACCCCCCAAAATCCAGACACATCAAGATAATATAATGTCCATTATTCAATCAAAAATTATTAGACATGATAAGAACAACAAAAAGACCTATAACTAGGAAAAACAAAAGCAGTCTGCAGAAAGAGATCCAAAATGCCAAGTGACAGAACTAGCAAAGAAGTACGTGAAAACAGAGAGCAGAGCCATATACTTGTATTTTAAAATACAAACATAAGAGAAATTAAACATTTTTAAAAATGGAACTCCTAAATGTAAGGAATATATTTTCTGAAATGAAAATTTCACAGGATGGGAATTTTTACACAATGCAAAAAAGAGAAGTCAGTGTACTTGAAAACAGCAATAAAACTATACCATGTAAAGCACAGAGAGAAAAAAGATGAGGGGTAAAAAACAGAATAGATCCTCTGTTCCAACATAGATGTAATTTAAGTCCCAGGATAAGGATGGAAAAAGGAGAGAAAAAAATGTTTGAAAAAAATAGTATCTGAACCTTTTCCAGATTTTCTGGAAATTAAACCCACAAATCCAAGAAGCTAAACAAAACACAAGTAAGATAAATACACACATGCATCAAAATCAAATTGCTGAAAACAAATGATAAAGACAAAAGTGGGGGTTTTTTATATTTTAT